CACGAAGCAGAGAGAGAGAGACACAGCAAGCAGAGAGAGAGAGAGGAGAGACATGAGAGCCAAGACACAGAGAGAGAGAGAGAGAGAGAGAACAGAGAGAGGAGAGACACAGAGAGAGAGAGAGAGAGAGAGAAGACAGAGCAAGAGAGAGACACAGAAGAGACAGAGAGAGAAGAGAGACACAGCAGAGAGAGGAGACACAGCATAGAGAGAGAGAGAGAGACCACATGAGAGAGAGAGAGAGAGAAGAGAGAGAGAGAGAGACACAGAGAGAGAGAGACACGAGAGACAGAGAGAGAGAGACACAGAGAGAGAGCAGAGAGAGACAGAGAGAGAGAGAGGACGACACGAGAGAGAGGACAAAGAAGAGAGAGAGACAGTCAGAGAAGATGAGAGAGAGAAGACACAGAGAGAGAGAGGAGAGACAGAGAGGACAGAGAGAGAGAGAGAGAGACACAGAGCAGAGAGAAGAGAGGAGAGAGACAGAGAGAGAACACAGTAGAGAGAGAGAGAGAGAGAGCAGAGAGAGAGACACAGGAGAGAGAGGAGACACAGAGAGAGAGAGACGGAGGAGAGAGAGAGAAGAAAAGACACAGAGAGAAGAGAAGAAGACGAGACGAGAGACAGAGAGAGACACAGAGAGAGAGAGAGAGAGAGAGAGACAGAGAGAGAGAGACACAAGAGAGGGACAGAGAGAGACAGAGACACAGAGAGAGAGAGGCAGACCAGAGAGAGAGATGAGAGAAGAGAGACACACAAGGAGAAGAGAGGAGAGAGAGACACAGAGAAGGAGAGAGACAGAGAGACAGAGAGAGGAGAGAGACACAAGAGAGAGAGAGAGAGGACAGAGAGAGACGGAGAAGACAGAGAGAGAGACAAACAGCACAGAGAGGAGAGAGAGGAGGAGAGAGCAGCAGACGAGAGAGGAGAGACAAGAGACAGAGAGCAGAGAGATGAGAGACACAGAGAGAGAGAGAGAGAAACAGAGAGAGACACAGAGAGAGAGAGAGAGGACCCGAGAGACAGAGAGAGAGGACACAGAGAGAGAGAGAGCACACAGAGAGAGCAGAGACGGAGGGAGAAGAGAGATGAGACACAGGAGGAGAGAGAGAGAGAGAGGAGAGAGACAGAGAGAGAGAGCACACAAGAGAGAGGAAGGGAGAGAGACAGAGAGAGAGAGAACAGAGAGGACAGAGGAGAGGAGAGACCACAAGAGAGAGAGAGACACAGAGAGAGAGAGACGGAGAGAGACACAGAAGAGGAGAGAGAGAAGAGAGAAGACACAGAGCAGAGCAGGAGACCTAGAGATGAGAGAGACACAGCAGAAGAGAGAGAGAGAGGACAGAGAGATGGAGAGAGCAGACACAGAGAAGAGCAGACAGAGCAGGAGCAGGAGACACAGAGCAGAGAGAAGAGAGACAGAGAGAGAAGAAGCACCGACGACACTGAGAGCAGAGAACAGAGAGAGAGAGACACAGCAGAGACAGAGAGAGAGGAGAGACAACAGAGCAGAGAGAGAAGAGAGAGACACAAGAGAGAGAGAGAGGAGAGAGACAGAGAGCACTAGAGAGAGAGCAGCAGAGATACCACAGAGAGAGAGAGAGAGAGAGAGAGACACAGCAGAGAGAGAGAGAGAAGAGAGGGAGAGACAGAGAGACTTTTTTTTGACTTTAACACAACTTTATTTGCGGACCTTATCCAATAACGTCCTTAAACTTTTTCACTTCAAGTCAATAATCAAAATGTTACTGGCCAAACAAAGAAAAGAATAAAATAAATAAATAAATAAATTAAAAAAAAAACCAAACAAAACAAAACAAAACAAGAAAACTCCCATTCACCACACTCTGCTCACACATATAGCGGCGTAAAAAACTAGTAAGCTAAGCTAAGCTTAAGCTAAGCCAAGTAAAAGTCCTACCCCCAGTGAGCCGTCAGGACCTGCCCAAAAGCCCCACTCAGCCCTGAGCCGTCATGTCCCGGGTCAGTGTGAAAAAAAACGCTCGCTACCTACTTTCAAACGAGCCTGCCACCAACCTTTCAAAACAGCGGACTCGCGCGTCAGTCCAGCCTTCCCCCTGTCATCTGGTTTTTTTCTTGCTCCAGATACGCCCAACAGGCAGCTGCAAAAATAAAAATTAATTAAAACCAGGACTGTCTCTTTCCTGCGGAGTGTACTTTGTCCGTACACAATACGGACAGAGGAGAAGGTCTCTGCCAGCCGCTCCACCCCACTCCTTCGCAGCTGAACAGCCCTGTCAGGCGGGGGCAGGACACCACCAGCATGCATGGAGCGGTTTCTGGTCAGGGCAGAAGGGCAGTTCTCCTCAGTGCTGGCGGTTCAAGTGCAGCTACGTGTCTGTTTGTAAGCTATGGCCTCCATGCTACGATCCTCCACTGGAGGTCGCGGCCATCCGTTCTCAACAGGAGGCTTGTACAGGAAGACGCCAGCCTCTTTAGGGGAAGAGTCTGAGCCCAAATACCTCGGATCCACCTGGACTCCCGGACTCCAAAATCCAGGAGAGCGGAGGTTCAGCACCTTGATGCAGCTGAGGTACAGCTAGCCTTCTTGCTGCAGGAGCTGAAGCTAGCCCAGCACTGAGGTCTTCAGGGAGAGGAGCAGGCCTCTGTCCTCGCTCCCACTCCCCCACAGCAGGACTCACACTCAGTGAGGAGGAAGATGTAAGTCCTGTCCCTCCACACCATCGTCGGCCATAGTCCTGTTCTGAGCAACGGCCCGCAGAGGAGCGGGAAGCGCAGCGCCCAACCTTCTCCATGCAAAGGGCTCTGCAGCATCCTGGATGACCGGACGCCCAACATACTACAGCCAGCTCCTCCAGGGAGTTCTCCTCAGAGCGATGTAGCGACTGACCCAGCTTCACAACGGCCAAGCCCTCCGCATGAGAGCACTCTTGCTCTTCCCATGTGTGGGTCGACAGCAAGAGTGCCACGCAACTTCACGGAAGCGTTGTGATATACAAAGCTCTCCTTCATAACAGAGCCACTTCCCGGCCTGCGACCAGAGCATAGGGTCGGGAGGTTCTTCTTTTGTTTTTTTGACGGCGGATGTGTCAGTCTGTCCTCCAGGCGCTTAAAAAAACCGATTTGTAGAAGGGGTGAAGTGGCGCCTTCCAGGTCACATCCAGCTGCTTTAAAAGAAAGAGTTGTTTGCTCCCGTCGCCGAGCCGTCCCGAGCTCTCTGGAGCTAACAGAGGTCTCGGCCACACTCGACCGGCACCAGCGCAGCGGCCGGAGAGTCCATACAGCCAGCCGCGAGCGTCTGCTTGACAATCTGAAAGTCGCAGTTCTGCCGACTTAATGTCAATCAGGCCCGCCCCCCTCTCGTGCCCACAGGGAAGATACAGGACAACGACGCTCTCACCCAATGACATCCAGTCCAAAAGAAGCTCCACCAGGAGCCGCTGCAGTTGTTCCACGATGGCTCAGGCGGGAGGCAGCAGCAACCTGCAGTTTGTGCCAGAGGGATCAGAGGCCACCAGGTTGTTGACAACCAGAAAGCCTCTTCCCCCTGTAGGACATCTGGACGTTAGCAACCAATGTCATTTTAGACAACTTAGCTTGCACTTTCCCCAGCACTTGCACGCTCCCAGTTTTCGCCTATTCCCTGCTCCTCACTGCCTAGTTGGAACCCCCAGGGACCTTTCATCCCTGCGTTCCCCCACTGCAGGTTCCAGAAGGCCTGGAGTGTTCCACTCTCGTGGCTCCAGCGTACCAACCGCGACCAGGACCATGGCCTCGCTCTTCCCCCAGCTTCACCCTTTCTGATCAGAGGCCTTTCTCATACAGCAGCTAGGCTGTCCCTCTCAAGACATCCTCGATGTCCTTCGGGGTCCTTGACAAAGATGCGTTAATAGTCTGTCTGCCATAAGCCGTTACGACCACAGGGGGGGCCGGAGAGTGCCGCGCTCCCACGGCAGGGGAAAACCCAAACAAGGGAAAACCCGTTTTGTCCAAAGCGCGCCGACTTCCTGCAGCCTGCAACAGCGAGCGCTTCCAGTCCACACTAGTGTGACAGCTGCTCCTGGAGCTAGGGCCATTCCCATAAGCCTGATCAAACCCCCTTCCCACCTCTACGCGACAGCTTAACAGGCCCGCACCCCCAGCTTCACTACCCAACAGCACTCCTTTACAATAATCTCACCAGCGACACAAAAAGTGCTCCCCGACACCAAACGCTGCAATGCTGGCAAACAAGAAAGAGTGATCTACACGATCAAAAGCCTTTCTCTTGATTCTATTGATTAAAAGATGCCAACATTTTAAATTATATAATTTGCAAGAGCATCAAAAAATGTCTCTCATAAAAACAAAATTATCCGCTTAATAGATCTGTCTGGGACACAGTCAGGATGATTGACACCCCAATATTGTCAATAAAAACTTTACCAGTCTGGTTGGATAAAACCTTAGCAATAAAAATAGCACGCTTCCAGGCCCGGCCGCCGGTTCTAGTGCTGCCTCACTTAGACCAGGCATGCCACCCGATATTATAGTCTGCTTTGCATAAGATACCACAGCGTCTCAAGTTTTTAAGAGCGTTAAAATCTCCTTTCTTGGGCAGCAGGGAGATCGCTGCACGGCGAACAGGAAGCGCTAGAAGACTCCCTTTGTGTAAAAACTCCTTAAAAAACAAATTCCAACAGGTCGCTGTCCCAGTAAGTTCCAGAAATGCCTTTAAAAAAGTCTGCCGGCAGGCCGTCCATCCCTTGGAGCTTATCCCTGAGGCCATGTGTGGTGACTGGCCGTGGTCAGCTCTGCCAGAGACAGCCGTCCAAGCTCAGGGTGTCGCTGGTCCTCCGGCCTCAGCCGAGGAGCTCGTCCAGCAGCTTCCTTCCAGTAAGCTTCCATGTCGCAGCTCTCGCCCTGAA